CTAGGGCAGGGATGGGGAGGAAGACTCATGCCAAAAGGCTTAGCTGGAAAAGTAGAGGTCAGATTGAGGTGTCAGATTGCCTGAGAAAGTAGTTTTTTTTTTTTCCTGAGACCTTAGATACCACGAAATGTATTTAAACAGGGGTGAGACAGGAGCCAATTTGTACACTAGAAAATCACTGGGGAAATTTCAGTTCTTCCCCTCCCCTGACTATCCATAGGGACTTTGAGTTCCTCTTGATCAGCGAGGCTCACTTACTCCGCTGGTCCTGAGCTGAAGGCTAAGGAATGTGTAATTGCTATCCAAGCCCAGATGTTCTCATAAGCTCCTCTTAAGCAGGCTTTCGAGGCAGCTCCATGTCCACATGTATCAGTGTCCCTTCTCCACCCAATGTATCAGCGAAACCACGCTGCAACAAATCTTCTTTTAATCACATAAGCTATTTCCTCCTGAACTAGAAAAGGTTTCACCCAGTTGCTCAACCTTCGACAATAAGTGCAAATGAGTTTTTCTAACACTTTTGGGGAACTGCACCACCAAATTTCATGCACACATTACAACTTTTTTTTCCCCCCAAGTTCTTACTGAGCTGGGCACAGTAGCTCATGCCTGTAATTCCAGCATTTTGGGAGGCTGAGGTGAGAGGATTGCCTGAGCCCAGGGGTTCAAGACCAGCCTGGGCAACATGGCGAGACCTTGTCTTTATAATCAATCAAAAAATTAGCTGTGCATGATGGTGCATGCCTGTACTTCCAGCTATTTGGGAGGCTGAGGTGGGAAGATCACCTGAGCCCAGCAGATCGAGACTGTGGTAGCTGTGATGGTGCCACTGCACTCCAGCCTGGGTGACAGAGTGAGACTCTGACTCAAAAAAAAAAAGTTTTTACTGTGCTACTTGCATAAACCCATCACTAACTAGTGTGTCTTTGTGCCTTTGGGATGATAGGATGTCCCCTCGCCCCCAACTGCCTGTTGCTTGAAGGCAGCCATTGTGGCAGCATTCTTTTCTTGACCCATATTAGAATCAGAGTTGGGGACCAAGGAGGCCTGGGGAGTCACCTCTCTTGTGGAAAGGAGCTGTTCCTCTCAGTGGCTGTCTCTGCTTTCTGTGCCAGTAAGGTCCAGGTCTGGATACCTGTTACGTGTATTTTCACTAACAGACATAATAAATTCAAAAAATAGAAACATATGATGTGTCTATAGTCCATCTGAAATTCACCCGAAATACATTTCATCTGTAGACTTGTGCTTTTTAAACTTCTCCGTTGGCCAGATGCAGTGGCTCATGCCTGTGATCCTAGCACTTTGGGAGGCCGAGGCAGGAGGATCACTTGAGCTCAGGAGTTTGAGACCAGCCTAGGCAACATAGTGAGACCTCATGTCTACAAAAATATCTAAAAATTAGCTGGATGAGGTGGTGTGTGCCTGCAGTCCAAGCTACTCGGGAGGCTGAGATGAAAAGATTGCCTGAGCCTAGGAGTTCAAGGCTGCGGTGAGCCTTGATCGTGCCACTGCACTCCAGCCTGGGTGAGACCTTAACTCAAAAATAAACCAACCAACCAGCCAAATAAATTCTCTTGCAGTTGCTCATCCCTTCCCTGTTACGCTCTCCTGCAATCTGTCTTTCCCAAGGTTCTTTGCTCAGAGGACCAATTTCTGGGTTTCTTCCTTCTTCCCTGTGGCGAACAGACTCTAAGACGGCCCCCATGATCCCACCTCCTGGTACTCATGCCCTTGTGTACCACCCTTGAGTGTGGGCAGGACTAGCAGCTTGCTTTGAATGGAATACAAAAAGGTGACAGGATGCCACTGCTGTGGTTACACTGTATGGGACTGTAGTGTCCCTCTTTCTAGGAGACTCCTTACTGGCTTCGATGAAAAGGCAGTCATGTTGGGGAGGTTCCTTTTCTAGAATCTGAAGGTCACTCCTGCTGCCAGCCAGCAAGAAACGAGTTCCTTTGTCAGAAAGAGACAAGGAACTGATCCTATCAGTAATCTCAGATCCTTCTTCCACTGGGCCTTGACATGAGATCACAGCCCATTGGCTGACACACTTGATGGCAGCTTTCAGATGACAGCATGAGCAGAGGACCCTGTTGAGCTGGACCCAGGATTCTACACACAAAACTGAGATAACAAATGTGTGTTGTTTCAGGCTGCTACATTTGTGATAATATTGTTATGCGTCAATCAATAATGCATTCCCTTTTTGATTTCTGGTCATATCATCTACCTAGTCCCAGAAGCATCCTCAATTTCTCTGGCCATACTTATATCCACAAGACCTTCCCCTAAGGCACAGCACTATGGAAATTCATGTCAATAGTTGTTACCTCCTCTGGCCAAAGGCTCCCCACGCCCAAGATATTGGCCTGGAACCTAACTCCTGCTCACAGAGGTGGCAAAAGGTGGTAGTGGGACTGTCTGCTTAGTCTGCACTATCCCTCCGACACCACTGAGTCTCCCTGCCACCCTGGCCCTCTGTCTCTCTGGCCTGCAGGTCTGTCTCAGGTTGCAGACTCTCAAGACTTGCTCAGAATGGAGAGTGGAACCAATGAAATCCCCATAGGAGTTTCCCTTAAGTTTGCTTTCTTTTCTTAAAACTAGTTTCTATGACACAAATCATGCATAAGTAGAATACCTGAGCTTTATCTAGGACGTTCTCTTAACTTCCACCCGGGAGCCTGGGCCTTTCTTCCTCTTGGCCTAAGGAAGCCTTGTTATCAGTTTGGCTGTCCCTCCAGAACCTTTTCTATGCATTCACATACATAAACATCTGGTTTCCCTTTTTAAGTCATAAAAGGTATAAACTGTACAAACTAATTTTAAAATTTAACAATGTGTCTTGGGGAGCTTTGCATATTAGCTCATATAGTTGAGTTTCATTCTTTCACTGCCATGTGATATTCCACAGTACTGATGGGCATTTACATGGTTTCCAACTTGTCATTACAGACAATGCTACAATGGCCATCTTAGTATATGCCTCTTTGGGTACAAGGGTGAGTTTTTATAGGATGGAATTATTGGGTCAAGGATATGGCTTAAATTTTTAAAGATATTGATAAATTGTCCTCCAAAGTGGCTATACTAAGTTACAAGTTCACTAGCAGGAAATGCATATCCCTTCCCAAGCCTTGCCAACACTTTGGTCAAGGATATGATTTTAAATTTTTAAAGATAATGATAATTGTTCTCCAAAGTGGCTACAGTACGTTCCAAGTTCACCAGCAGGAACTGCATATCCCTTCCCTAGCCTTGGCAACACTTTAGAATCTTTTGTTCATCTGATAGATGGAAAAATGGTCTTTCACTCTTGTGATTTGCAGTCTCTTTCATTATAAACATCTTTGAAATGTTTTTGGGGCCAAAACGTTTATTTTGAAACAGAGCCTCATTCTGTAGGCCAGGCTGGACTGCAGTGGTACAGTCACGATTCACTGCATCCTTGAACTTCTGGGCTCAAGCAATCCTCCTGCTTCAGTCTCTTGAGTAGCTGAGACTATTGGCACATGTCATCATACCCAGCTAATTTTTTTTTTTTTGGTAGAGACAGGGTCTTGCTATGTTGCCCAGGTATATAATCTTGAACTCCTGGCTTCAAGTAATCCTGACTTGGCCTTCCAAAGTGCTGGAATTATAGATATGAGCCACTACGTCTGGCCTAAAAGTTCTATTTTATAAATTGTTCATAGATTTTGTTCATTAAAAAAAACTCAGTTGCCTCATGATTTATAGTACTTTATATAATCTTTACACTGAGTTTTCATCTCACTTGTCCTTTAAACTTATTTGTGTCTTATCATGGAAAAGTTTTTTTTTTTGAGTTGGAGTCTCACTCTGTCACCCAGACTGGAGTGCAGTGTCCGCTCCCAGCCACTGCAGCCTCGACCTGCTGGGCTCCGGCGATCCTTCCACCTCAGCCTTCCAAGTAGCTGGAACTACAGGCGTGTGCTACCACGCCCGGCTAGTTTTTGATTTACTGTAGAGATGAGGTCTCACCAAGTTGCCCAGGTGGGTCTTGAACCCGCAGGCTCAGGCAATCCACTCTCCTCAGCCTCCCAAGGTATGGGATTACAGGCTGAGCTACTGAGCCCGGCCATGGAAAAGTTTTAGAACTGGATTTTGTTCCACTGATAAATGTTTTCTCTTATGCTTTTGCCTTTTGATGTCTTTAAAGAAAATTTTCCTACCAAGATCACAAACATTCTTATATTTTGATCAACAGTTCAACTTTGTGTTTAGTGTTGGGCCTTAAATTCCAGGTTAACTTCAATGAATAGTGTAAAGTAGGGCTCTACAATTTTTTTTTTTTTTTTGGAGTCACAGTCTCACTCTGCTGCCCAGGCTGGAGTGCAGTGACACACTCATGGCCACCCTAGTATCGACCTGCTGGGCTCAGGTAATCCTCCCACCTCAGCCTTCCAAGTAGCCGGAACTACAGGTGCACACTACCATGCTCAGCTAATTTTTTGAAATATTGTAGAGACGAGGTCTCACCAAGTTGCCCAGGCTGGTCTCGAACCCCTGAGTTCAGGTAATCCTCTCACCTAATAGGCCTCCCAAAGTGCTGGGATTACAGGCTAGAGCCACCACACCCGACCGGCTCTACAATTTTTAACTAGTAAGCCATTGTCCCAACCCTACTGGCTAGTCCACCAATTGAAATAGTGCCTTTGTCACACTAACTCCCCATCCAGACAGGGGTCTGTTTCTGAACTCCTGCTAGGTCCATCGGTGCCACCCAGTTTTCCTGGCTATCTTCACCAGGGCTTAATGGGAGCTCCAGTCCCATTGACAACCCATGCTCACTCAACTGTGCCGTCTCTTTATTTCCAGCATCTATCTTCAAGTCTTCAGCATGAGCCTCTAGCCTTGAACTCAGCGAGGGGCAGAGGGCTGTTAATGCTGCAGCCATTCCACTTACATCTTGAGAATTCTCCACATATCCTTACTCTCTTTCAGCCTCCACACCCAAGAAGAAGTCTGTCAGACACCAGCAGCCTTGAACTAGTAGTGCCATTTATTGAAAAGAGCAAAGAAGAGAGAGTGCAGGCCTCCTTAGGGCAGGATGGGACAAAATAAGCAGCGTGAACCCGCCTCCCGCTCAGCAGACACGCTTGTTGCCCCACTGGGCCATCTTGTTGTTGACGGGCATCTTGAAGAAGCGGTCAGACTGGATGTAGGCAGCGATTTTCTCCAAAGCCTGAAGGGAAAGCACACCAGGCCTTATAAAGACCCTTTTCCAGTCACCACAGGCTTATACCAAGACAGCCACATGCACATGCTCTGCTCTGCCTCTACCGCCCCATTTTCTGGAGGCAATGCCTTCGGAGTATAGACACCAGGCCCTTTCTAAGACTTAAGGGCCTAGAGGTGTCCAAACCATGGAGACTGTTGGGCAAGAATCTGCCACACGGAGTCTTTTAGGGGCCAAGGGGAGCTTGTGTTTTTCTAAGAGAAAGGGGCAGGAACCATCACCTCAAAACGGCACATGAAAGCCTTCAGATTTGGGAACTCATCCAGGCACTTGGGCTCAAACATACGGTTCTGATCTAAGACATCATAGGTGAGAAAATCCACAAAGGTGAGCTAGAAGGAGGACAAGGAGATGGTCAGGTCTGCGGAGTCCTTAACATCTAGAGATCGAGAGACGTCCCCTCCTCTTCCCTTCCTCCTACCTTTTCCCCTGCAAACCACGAAAATTTCCCCAGGAACAAGGAGAATTGTTTCAGTTGTCCAGGTAGCTGCTCCAAGTATTCAGGCTTCAGTTTTTCCTGAGACAGAGGGAGAAAGAGGGAGAGAACAGCTACCATAATCTTCATCACTAACTGGGGCACAGGCCAGTGATGGACACTCCTGGCCTCTTCACCAGTTGTCTTCTTCTCACTACCTTCACTTTGGGTTTGCAGGATGGGAAGAAGTGGTCTGGAAAGGAGACCAGTTCCAGAGTTACATGGCAAAGCAAACCAGAAAAGCAAAGTTCTGCTTCTTGTTCTGACTGCCTGGGTTGGTGAGAAGGTGGCAGCAGCAGAAGGAGGCAGAGCTAACCCGCAAGTTCCCAAATGCTCCTCATTCTGACACCCCATTCAGTTGGATGCATGCTACGGAAGCTCACGTGGTCAGAGTTGTAACAGAGCCGGATCAGCTGCATGCGGAAATCCATGACTTGGTTCTCCATGATGTCCACTCGGATCTTTTCTTCTTCAGTGTCACCACCTGCAGGCCAAATGACAACCAACCACCTGGGATCATCCACCCACAGGCCAACAACTGGCCTGGGCTCCCTCACCAGCCCTGGCCCACTCACACATGTTGTGCTTGCGAGCGATGTAGCGCAGGATGGCATTGCTCTGGGTGATCTTGTTCTTTCCATCCATGAGGTAGGGCAGCTGGAAGGAAAGGGACAGACTCAATGAGCAGCCTAGCTCCCTCCTGCCTCCCTACCTCTCCCTCCTGTGGAAGAGGAGACTTGTAGGGCAGTGCACGAAAGAAGATGCTATGTTAGAAGAAAGAAGAGCAGAAGGTAGCAAATGAATTCCACATGACTCCAGACAGGGGGCTCTTAGATCTCTGTGTGTGAACGTGTGCGTGTCTGTGTGCACGCCATGGATCCCTTCTCAGAATAAGGCTTTTAAATGCATAAAGCAAAAACCCACACACTTATATAATTACAAAATCTTTTAAAAAGTGGGACTAGAGTAATATGGACCTATTAATGCATTAAGTAGTGGGTAGATATAATACCATAATTTCAAAGTAGTAGTGAACGTAAATAATACTTAAGATATCTGTGACACATTTAATATGAAAATACCTGATTTCGACTAATGACAAAGTCAAAGACATTATTAATAACCAAGTCACAGGCATAGCTGGTAAACAAGTCACCTGCTGCCTATTTTCACAGCATATGGAAATGTGAACTTTTGTTAGTGGTTAGTGGCAAATATAATTTTTTCCCTTCGTCCAGCTCCAGGACCCTTGAATTCTATCTATTCTATCCAGGTTAAGAGCCTCTATTCTAGATCCTTCGAGGCCAGAGAGGGGAGAATCAAGGATGGATATACTTGAATGTGTTCTCTTCTGTCCCTCCTCTCCTAAAGCCACCTACATTGGGAAAGTCCAGGTTTAGCTTGAACTTCACATCCAGCCACTGGCTTCGATCATAGTCAGGAGCTGGAAAAGACAGAATGAAGCAGGACCCAACCTCCTTAAGATCCCACCTGGTGAATGAAAAAATCTACAGAAATGGCAGTCCCAATACCTCAGATACCCGGGCCCCAAACGCTTAACCATTTAGTCTCTGTGCCCACTTGGTTAAACATTAAGGAGGAGCTGGGTTATGGCAGAGGGGGAATCCCCAGCTCCAGGTAAAGGATGCGTCTCTCCCCGCACAGGACCCGGCAGGGCGCTCCCACTTGACTGGGGCAGACGTCCACCCGACCTCGGCGCGATGCCACCCCCCGGGCACAATTCAGGGCAGCTGGAGGGCCCGCCGTGGCAGCGCGCAGCGCACAGGCACCCAGCGGGCATTACCTTCCCCGCACGTGTACAGCTTCTCCTCATAGGCGGTATCCGTGAACTCCAGGAGCAGGCGGATGGCGTGCGCCAGCTGGGGGACACCGAGGGGTCGGCGCCTGCGCGGCTCCCACCGGCCAACCCCCGCCCGCCAACGTCCCCCGACCCCGGCCGCCGAGACCCTGCACCCCGCCGGGGCGGTCGTTGAGCGGCTCCCACGCCGCACTGCCCGCGGCCCCTTCCCACGGGACCCAGCGACCCCAGAGGCGGGGCGGGGGGAGGTCTCCGGGGGTGTGGCGGCTCGACGTGGGCCTGGCGGCTCGACTTGGGCGGGCCGCGGCGTCGGGGCCCCCGCGTAGCGCCGCGTCTAAGGAAACCGCCGACCCGGAGCCCCGGCCGCCTCCGCGTCCGTCTCCCGACGGCCGGCTCTGCCGTTGAGACGGCACTCACCCCGCGAATATCCCAGTAACCCAGAACCATAGACTTGGACGACATAGCGGCGGCGCTGGCGAACCTTCGACGACGCTGAGTACGGGGCGAGAGGGCGGAGCTTTATACCCGACTGAGTGGGCGTGGCCAGTGCTCGGGCCCCGCCCCCCCGCCGGTCCCCAGAGCAACGCGCAGGCGCGACTTCTGGCGGCGAATCCCGAGGCTGGCCGCTGGAGTGCGCGCAGCAGGCGAGCCCGGCGAGTCGAAGTGCTCCGCGCTCCCCCACGCCTGCGAGCCGTACTTCATTCATTGATAGTGCCAGTCAAGGCAGGAGGGGCGTCAACAGCCAGAGAGTAGGGACCCCGGTTACCCAGGGACAGGGAGATCGATTGATGCCGTATTTACTGAGCTGGGGTGAGCTATGGGAAGGGGGTTGCCGAGGCCAGCCCGGAGAGTTGGACCAGGCTCTGACCACCAGGGTACTCGCGAGCATTAGGGGGCGGGAAGGGCCGGGGAAGGAGAGGATGGTGATAAGAAACTCACAAATTACTTAAAACCATAAAACTGGAAAGTGGGAAGCGATTCAAGGTGAGAAATGGCACCTGCTTTGGAGGGAGAGATCCCTTCTGGCCGGGACAGAGGGGGGTTCTGAGAAGGCTTTAAGGAGAGGTGGGCATTTGAGCAAGGCCACTGAGGAAAAGCAGGCCACGGAAATTAGGATGCAGGAAAGGGCATTCCTGGCAGAGACGTTGCAGAGCAAACAGTGGAAGAGGCCAAAGCAAGTGTGTGGAGAAGGAACATCAAATAGTATTGGGGTCAAGGTGCAGAGGATCTTGACTACTAGAGGTGGGGGTTTGGGTGTTTTTCCTCTGGGTCTGTGGAAAGTATTGAGATCACAGATGTTCAGTGAAAATACTATGCAAGCCACAGATGTGAATTACAATTTTATGTTTCTAAGGATTTGAGACCAGCCCGGGCAACTTGGTGAGACCTAGTCTCTACAATAAGTAAAAAAAATTAGCTGGGCGATGGTGTGTGCCCACAGTTCCAACTACTTGGAAGGTTGAGGTGGAAGGATCACCTGAGCCCAGCAAGTTGAAGCTGTGGTGGTGTGCCACTGTACTCCAACCTGGGTGACAGAGTGAGACTCCAACTCAAAGAAAAAAAAAGAAAGAAACAGGTAAATTAATTTTAATATTGTGTTTTATTTAGCCCAACCTTTCTGAAAATACTATAATTGCGCATGTAATTAATATGAAAATTATTGAAATATTTTACCTTCTTTGTTTTTGTACTGTCGTCAAAACACCATGTGTATTTTACACTCAGGACACATCTCAGTTGAGACTTGCCACATTTCACTTACTCAGTGGCCATGTGTGACTTGTGACTATTGTATAGGACAGAGCAGATTTGGATGCTTTGCTGAGGTGGGTGATTGTCAGACTCCTTCAGGAAAATTAATCTGCTTCTTTGTGTAGAGTGGACCAGAGGAGGGACAGTGCTGCCATTTTTCATTCACTTATCCGTTCATCCATCCAATATTTATTAACATGCCGATTATGGCCAGGCACTGTCTTAGGTGCTGGGGATACCACATTGAACTCAAAGACCAAATTCCTGTTCTGAGGAAGCATGCATTGTAGTGGGGGAGAAGCAGAAATAAACGGATATATAGTAAATGTCCAGTATGTCAGTTGGTGATATACATCCTCTGGAGAGAAATAAAGCAGAGAGATGGGGGTCTTGAAATGGGAGTTGGGGGAGCCCCAGTGGGAAGGGGATTTATGTTTATAACGGATGTGTTCATGTAAGGCCTCACTGAGAAGTTAAGCAAAGACCTGGAGGAGGTGAGGGACCATGCTACATGCTACTCTGCCGTGGGGCTGTCATGGGTGCAGGAGGTAGAGAAGTTCAGGCAGAGCAAGTGCAGGGAGTCCCCACTGTATAGATGGCACTTAAAACTGCGAGACTAGATGAGATCACCATGGGAATGAGTAGCAGAGAAGAGACACCGTTGAAGGGTTTGGGGGGGCTGTGGCACATCAACATTTAGGGGTTGGGGAAATGAGACAGAGCCAGCAAAGAAGTCTGAAAAGGGGTTGGCCAGTAAGGTAGGAAGAAAACCAAGTGTCCTAAAATCCAAGTGAAGACGTTCGAAGGAGGAGTGAGCAACCACGTCAAGTGTGGTTGATGGAGCTATTAAGATGAAGACTGAGAATTCATGGTTTAATTTAGCAACATGGGAGTCATGATGACCTTGATAGAACAGCTGCAGGTGGCCCTGTAGTCTTTGAAAGAACTAAGCTTCTGAGTTAAGCCAGGCCCATGAAAATGAAAAAGGGCACAGATTTGCAACAGTTTCAACTTGGGGGAGACAGAATTTGACAGCTGACCATTGACAATTGACTGTGGAGGAGTCCAGAACTACTCTGAAGGTTCTGGCTAGCCTCCACATCCTCCAAAGATAACAAAAGGCCAGTAACAAATTAACCTTATAACTGAGGTATAAGACTAGCATTGATTGAGCACTGATGATATGCCAGACAACATCTAGGTATTTCACATAAGTTACTAATTTATTCCAATTTAAGCTTCGCAATAACTTTATGAAGTAGACATCTTCCCATTTTACAGAGGAAGAAACAGGTCTGGAGAGGTTAACACCCACAGATGGTCTGGGAGTCACACCCAGATCTGTCTAATAACACAGTGGTGTAGTTCCAGAGCACTTGGATATCTGGACAGCCCCTCACCTCGCCCCAGTCTTTTGGGAAATCTGGGGAACACTGGGATAAAACACTTTTTCCTGGTGCTGTAGGGTTTCCCTGCCTCAAGAATGCTTTCAGCTTTATGAAATCCCAGAGGACAATGGGTTAATATCTCCTCCTCCATCCCAAGAAATTAGCTTTTCTGGTTAACGTTTGCCCTTGACAAGTCAGACTCTAAGGGACTCACCTACCCCCCCCCCACCATCTTTTGTGAGGGAAATTTGTTGATTTTCTATTCGGTTAGCTAGGAGAGATGATTTTTCTGATATAATTAATTTGAATGAGTGACATCTAAAAATAGTGCAGTTTGGGCCCAGACAATGTTAGGGTCATGGACAAATTTAGCTGAGAGGGAACCCTTGAATCAATAAGTCCATTGGGCCTTATCTGTAGACTTAACCAATAAAAGTACAGCTACTATTGTGTGAAAAGGAGAGTCCATGGCAGTTTTGAGATTAAAGGCGGTTTTTACCAAAAATATGCCCCCACAACAGTCCAAACTCTTCACTTAACCTTTGAGAACACAGAGACCCAGAGAGTGGAATGACTTGCTAGTGTTCACACAACCAACTGGTGAACTTTCCACTCTTAGGCCCATGTTCCTTATGGTCCCGCCACTAAAAAGCCAAGCTGGAGCGGAAACACAAGGTCAGCTCCACCAACAGTGTGGGACAAATGCTAAGTAGAACTTGCTGAACCTGCCTTACCTGAGTGCTCCCTGGGGTCATCAGCCAGAGAGATTGACCAAAACCTGTGGCTGTCTGCCCTGGTGCTTTTTTTTGTTTGTTTTTGTTTTTTTGAGTTCAAGTCTCACTCTGTCATCCAGGCTGGAGTGCAGAGGCACACTCATGGCTACTGCAGCCTTGATCTGCTGGGACTACAGACGTGTGCCAGCATACCTGGCTAATTGTTTGATTTATTGTAGAGATGTGGTATCACCAAGCTGCCCAGGCTGGTCTTGAACCCCTGGGTCCAGGCAATCCTCTTGCCTCCGCCTCCCAAAGTGATGAGGTTACAGGTACAAGCCACTGCGCCTGGCCCCATGTGCTCTTTGCTGCTGTGAAGTGTTATGCATTTAACTGTGCTGGGTGCTTGGAATATACTGGAAGGAATGTGTGTGGGATAAAGATGGTGAGCATAGTCTTATTTTGGAGTTAGTTTAGAAGGAGAATGAGAACACTGAGTGACCTCTCACAGAAACAAAGATCCGAGTATCACATGTTCTCACTCATATAATGGACCTTGAACATCCAATGTAATACTA